TGGCTTTTTTTCTCCGAGGGGTGTTGGGCACAGGCGGCGGAGTAAACCCCTGGAAGATGTGCTTCCCTTCCAGGCCTGGAGCTCAAGCCCACGGGCGTCCTGGGCGGCGGGTGCTGCGCGATCCTCTGGGTCAGAGTCTGGGGGGTGGGGGTGCCTGCGGGACCCAGGCCTGGAGCTCTGGCCTCTCTGCGGGGTGACCTCCAGAGAGGCTCTCGGCCTCGCGAAGTCTCCACTTCCCTCAGCCTTGCAGCGAGAAGAATGGTCGCCAGGGTCGTTGGGGAATCACCTACATTGATGGACACTAGGGCCTTGTGCAGAGTGTAACCGCTCTTACGCCTGTCAGTTCCAAAAATCTGATGTCACGTTTCCAATCTGTGACATATTTTGATGTCGGTTTCCAGCCCATAGTGCAGACAGTTTTCCCCGTGGTCCACACTGACACATAACTGAAGTTCACTGAAGTCTGCACGTTACTCAGATTTCACTCGTTTTTCCATCCTGTAATCCCATTCAGGATCCCATAATATAGACACTGTGCACCTCAAGCTTTTTGGAACGTGATCCAAAGTTAGAAATACATTTTACATCACTAGACAATACACCCCTTTATGTAAACGGAAACACAACACTTTTAGCAACTGGGATATACTCTGGTATTTTCTATTCTGTTGATTCTATTCTGTTCTGTTCTGTTTCATTCCATTCTGTTCCGTTCCATTCCATTCCACTGTATCCCATCCCATCCATTTCTATGCCAACATAAAACTACTCATCAATTTGAACCCACAAATGGGTCACTCAGCACCTGTGTTTAAAAACTTGTCTTGCAGAAAGATGTTCTCTCTCACTGCTTTTGCCGCAGTGAGGAATAATTCTGTTTATCTCCAGGACCGACTGTGAGGCACTGGCCTCGCTGTGTGTAATCTATAAATGCCCGACACCTGGGTGGCATAACACAGAGGCCCCTTTCTTCTATTCTCTCATATTTTGTCATAACTCTCTATTTTTGCAGGGCTGGGTACTCACCCAGTAGCACCCACTGTCTTTGGAGATGCGGCTGGTTGGTAATGGAATGTTTGCAGGCCCTCGAGCTCAGAACTGACTGGTCTGGCACACTTGTCAAGAGCTTTGCCCAGGCAACGGTGTGCAAGGGAAGGGTGCTTCCGCCACTGAGGTTCTAAGGCATTTTGAGAGTTAGATCTGCATGCAAACCCATTGCCTGGAAATGAGTGGGTGTGGTTTCAGTGACCTTGATCGGGGTAAAGATAAATGTCCCTCAATGTCTGGGACAGTCCCTTGCACAAATCACCTTGCACAGATCGCTAGTAATGTCCCCCTTGAGATGCTTTGCCAAGACCAGACTGAGACTGAAATAGGGAGGGTGATGAGAGTCTGTTTTGTCCCCTGTAGGCTTTCCTTCTTTCCAAGTGTCAGTAAGCGTTAAGCTGGGGGAGGCTGTCCCTGGGACAACAGGTGGGCATGGTTAAGAGAAGCGCCTGGCCCTGGACGGCCACGTTAGGCTGCAGGAGGGGCGAGTCTGGACAGGTCCAAGCGCCCCAGGTCCTCAGGCAATGGAACGCACTGGAGGCTCCAATTACCGTGAGGAGAGGGAGCCACAGTCCTTCTGGGTAAATCCTCTGCAGCCACAGCCCGGCACGCCTTCCTAATCCCTGCCCCGCAGGGACCGCCGCCTCCTCCTGCACACGCAAGTAGGGCTCAAGCTTTCTGGGAGCGTTTCCCTGGGAAGGGGGAATAAAACTCACTCTGCTGCCCCTTTGAGGGTGGGTCCATCTGCTCCCCGCCAGACGTCTGCACTCGGCCAAGCATCGGGCCCGGTGGCTCCGGCAAACACCCTGGGTCTCCCTCGACTCGTTCTCTCCCCCTCGCCCCAGCCCATCATCACGACTGTCTCCTTGGATTCGCCTCCAGAGGTCACCTTGCGTGGACCCATCTGCTCCACCCCCCTGCGTCTCTGGGCATTCGCTGCACTGACCCCATCTCAGATGCTCCTTCCTTGGTTCCTGGCACTTCCAGCTCTTACTTATCCTTCAGGGCTCAGCCAGAAAGATGCCTCCTCTGTGAGGCCTTCCAGGATTACCTCATCTATAGCGGTCTCCATTCTCTCTTGACTGTGCATCACGCTATCCTATTTTACCCTCTTCATAGTACAGATAATTACCCTTAATTATCATGTCTGCCACCCCAACCCAATGTCAACCCTGGGAAGACAGGGACAGTGTCTGCCTCATTACAGTTACAGCCTGTGCGCCTTGAACAGGCCGACTATCATACGCCGTTCAGGTACCAAACTCCTTTCATTCTTTCTTGTCCCATGAGAGAATCTGCCATCACGCTCTCCGGTCTAGATCATGAAATGGAGTCACTGGGAAGTAAAGCGACTTGCCCAAGTCCGCCCAGCGGGTCAGTGGCAGGCAGCGACTTGAACTTAGACACAGACTCAATTTGGAATCTTGGTGCTGGCCTGCCTCCCTCCACCGGGACGGACGGAACACCAGCCATCGTGGGGCTGTGATTCTAGAAGGCACGCGTTCAGGTGGTGGGGAGAGACAGCTCTGTAAGAGTGTGAGATGCCAGCACACGGGCGGGGGGCTCCCGGCGTGTGGGAGGGGGTGTTCATTTCCCAGGGCTGCCGTCACAGATGATCACAAACTGGATTGATTAAAGCTACACATATTTTCTTTTCTTAACGGTTCTGGAGGCCCGAGGCTACAGCTGGTTTCACTGGGGCTAAAGTCAAGGTGTGAGCAAGGCTGGGCTCTGTCTGGGGACCCCAGGGGAAAACTCATTCCCTTGCCTTTGGCTTCGAGTCTCCCTCAAATTCCTGCATCCACCAGCTTGTTGGTTCCCTCTCCATCTCTGGTGGGCATCCACCCCCTCCCCGCTTCTGTCGTTACGCTTCCGTGGCCTCTAAGCCTCCTGGCTCCCCCTCGTAAGGACCTTCTAGAAACCTTTGTGGTTATACCAGGCCCACCCAGATAATGCAAATAATTTGCCCATCTCAAGAGCCTTCACTTAGTCACAGCTGCACAGTCCGTTTTGCTCTGTAAGGCAGAAATTCTCAGGTTCCGGGGATCAGGACATGCACGTATATGGGGAGGGGTGCATTGCAGAGGGTGGTTGGCGATTTTAAATAGGCGATGGGGGGCGTGGGGGAGGCCTCGCTGAGAAGACACTGTCCGGCAGACATGGAGGAATCCTGGCAGTGGCCAAAGCCACCTCAGGGCACCGCCTTCAGGAAAGACCTGTGAGCACAGAGCCTGGCACCATCCGGCATGCCCCGGGAGGCCAGTGTAGCTGGGCTGAGTGGGGAGGGGGCAGTGGGGGGACATGAGGTCACAGAGGCCGCGGGGGCAGGCCCTCAAGGCCGTGTCAAGGGCCTGGGGTTTTACTCTGCGTAGGTGGGAGCCAGGGAGGGGGGCTTCTGAGCAGAGGACGGACAGGATTGGACTCAGGTTTTTACAAGCTTCCTCTGGCCTCCGGGTGGAAAAGAGTCTGTTGGGCAAGAGTGGAAGAATGAGGGCGGCTGGGGAGGTTTTGCAAGAGCCCAGGTGAGGGAGGCCAGCGAGAGGCTGTGATGTGTCCCCGGATTCTCCTTCCAAACTAGCCCCGTGCTCCTGGGTGGACTGGTGCTGAGAGATCAAGGCCGAGTCCCTCCCTTGGGGAACGCTGTTGGCCACAGGGTGCTGCTTTGCCCAAGGTCATTTTCCTTCCATGGGAACCATCCATTTCCAAAGACTGGTAAGTGCGGGGGTACAAAGGTTCACCCCCCACGACTCAGTTCAGTGCAGCCTGGAGGGCCATCATAGCTCCAGACCTCACAGGATTGTCTGCAGGGCCCCACCTAGGCTGTGTGGGGTCTAGGCAACACACACACATGCACACACACACACACACACACACACACTTTTCCCAGGGTCTCTACCTATATACACAGTTTGTTTACAAATGTATTTTGAGAGACCTGGGTGGCTCAGTCGGTTAAGCGTCCAACTTTGGCTCAGGTCGTGATCTCACAGTTCGTGGGTTCAAGCCCCACGTCAGGCTCTGTGCTGACAGCTCAGAGCCTGGAGCCTGTTTCAGATTTTGTGTCTCCCTTTCTCTCTGCCCCTCCCTCACTTGTCCTTTGTCTCTAAAATAAATAAACATTAAAAAAATTTCTTTTAAAGGTATTCCAAATTCCTGGGCCCATGTGACGTAGAGTGATTTATCCCTGAAGGTATAGAATAATGGCCAGAGAAGAGGTGTTTCTGTATGTTTTCATCCATTGTGAGCACATGAAGGTTCTTCATAGAGTGGAGGCACCATCACTTCCCCGGAGATCCCTGTTATACAAGAAAAATGGATCAAATCAAACGCAAAGCAACACATCCCTCATGTGAAAACTATCAACGCAATTGTCCACTTGCAGATCTGCTCATTCCTTTAACAAGCGTTGACTGTGTTCCTGTGCACACATCCCATCCAGTTTCCAGGGCACAGCAGTGAACAAGATAGATGTGATCCCTCTGTTCTCGTGAAGTTCCAGTGTATGAGCATAGACAATAGACAGCAAAACAAATAAATATACAGGAAATTCAAGATGTTGAAAAACGCAGACGGAAACAGAATGGGGGGGATGGGATAAAGAATGGTGAGGGGGGCCACTGTCTAATTTTGGGTGATCTGGGAGGGGCTTTATGAGAAGGTGACATGCAGGCTGAGTCCTGAAGGGTGGGAAGGGGCTACCATGGGAGATCTGAGGGAACAGTGTGCCAGGCAGAGGGAACAGTAAGTGCAAAGGCCCAGAGGAGGAAACAGGTCTTGAGAATCGAAGGACCAGAAGTGAGACGAATGTGTGTGAGACATAAGGCATAAGAGTGGTTGGAGATGGACGTGCAAAGACTTTGCAAAGCATCAAGTGGGCCAGAAGGGGAAGGGAATAGTGTTGTCGTTGTTAATTATCACTGCAGTGACAGTGGGCTTTGTGTCCAGCCCAGGCTTCCAGAGATGAGGAGAAGCTTCCCATCAGTTCACTTCAGGAAGAGCACGAACCTTCTCCCTCACATCTCCATCAGCAGCAGCGGGTCAGCTCTGCTGGCTACAGACCTGTTCTCTGTTATCAAAGTCTGTACCAGGCACATTAACACATACGTGCCCAACCGTGGGCAGATCGAGCCATCACGGAGAGCTTGAGATTGGAAGCAGCTGCGGATCATGATGACCCTAAGATATGCCTGCTTTGTCTCTGTTAAGGAATTAGACACAATACTTTCATCCTTAAATCAGGTAAATAAAACTCGATCTCTCTGCAGAAACGGGACCCAGAGGGAAATCCATGTTTTACAGTTCTGGCGTTTTGGGCCATATTTCCACACCCCTTTTTATTTGTGTCAAGGGTTAGACTGTGCAAAAATATCTTCCCGTACAAGTTCATTTGTCCTCATTGAAATGTGCAGAAGGCATTCACATGTCACACATATTTATAATTCTTTTCCAGGTCAAAAGAAAGAAAGAAAGAAAACGCCTGCAGATCCTTAGCGGTACGTACTTTCTGGTAAGCACGATGACTCCTTTCTGCATTTCGTCTCGTAGTCCAGCCTCTCCTTTCTCCATAGCATATGTTTAATGCTACAAACTCATTCTCCTGCCCCTTCCATTCATGAGCATGCGGTTGGAGCGTCTGTTACTTTTGTTCACCCAGCGTCCACTTCTCCTCCCTTCCGGCAGCCGCGCTCTGATTTTATTTGGGGCCAGCAATCCCCCCTCTTCAAGCCACCAGCCTCTAGTTCTAGATTTGGCCTCGGGACCCAGGGGCTGGCAAACAGGACGTTCTCCCTCTCCACTCTCGCCCACATCCTCTTAGGTCGAGTCGTTCCTGGATGGCAAATGGAATTCAATGCCAGGCTCGGTTTGATTTCCTGGAGAGAATCTCTCTTTTCTTAGGATTTGTTTCTGTGAGGCTGTGAGCCAGGCCACAGGGCAGAGAGGCCCCATTTGTGTGTGAGGTCAATACAGACAAAAGCAGCCATGAACTGGAGAGAAATGGAACCTTGTAGACATCACGAGCACTCCTGGATCCAGCCATGCCTGAAGCCGTTACCCCTGGGGCAGGTTTTCTCAACCTTGCTACTATTGTCAGTTTTGGAATAAATCTTTCTTTGTTGTGGGGGGCCATCCTGTACATTGGAGGACCTTTAACAACATCCTTGGCCTCTACCCACTACACAGCATGCTGCACACACCCCCGCCACTCTGTCCCCAGTGACAACCCCAAATGTCTCCAGACGTTGCCAAATAGCCTTGGGGGCATGTATGTAAAATCACCTTCATGAACAATCACTACCCGAGACTGACCAAGGGTTATGTAGGTCAATACATGTCTTACATTTTTTTTTTCGTATTCCTGTTTGAGTTGGGTTTTCCATGCTTGTCCCCAGGGGGAAAGCTTTACCTTTAGGATGCAGGGTGACACCTAATAAAAGGGGACCTGATGGCTGTAGCAAGGGACGGGACACTCTGCTGCCAAGAAACCAATTCAGACCGTAGCTAAGCCACGTTATAGTCTGTAGCCCTATCCCGAGGGGCGGGACAGAGCCCTGTAACTCACCCGCTTGGTGAGAGAAACTGTCCATGACCGCCTCCCAGGGAGACAGGGAGGAGGGTGGGGGACGGGCGGGGGGCACCTCCTCACGACCTGCCACCCTCCTGCATCCCAGGAGGGTCATAGGACATTCTGCCAAAGCTCAGATGAGCCACGGTACCAGCCTCATCGGTGAGGCCTGTGCCCATGGGGGGCCAGGGGGCGTTTGTTCCCTGAGGTTATTACGAAAACAGGATAATGTCTATTGGGTGATTAAAACACCATTTCCCAGGATGATAACCAGTCCCGAACACATACAGGCTTCAATCGCTTGCAAAAAAGAAAGAAAAGAAAAGAGAAGAAAAGAGAAGAGAAGAAAAGAGAAGAAAAGAGAAGAAAAGAGAAGAAAAGAGAAGAAAAGAGAAGAAAAGAGAAGAAAAGAGAAGAAAAGAGAAGAAAAGAAAAGAAAAGAAAAGAAAAGAAAAGAAAAGAAAAGAAAAGAAGTGGGGGAGGAAAAGAAATCACTGACCCAAGTATTTCCAATTCCAAATTTCTAAACATCTGGCCGTTTGGAGGCCAAGCATCCGGGAGGCTTGGTTGTGAGTTCGTGTAGCCAGAGCAGACGCTTGAGGACACTGTGAGTTACAAAGCTGACTTCTAGGTCAGTCTCAGAGCAGGGTTGGGGATGGTTGCCCTGGCCACAGCCGAGTCTGTAAGTCTTGCCTGGAAATCCTTGCCTTTCTCCCCAGGCCCCATGGGGACCCTGATGTGTCCATAAGTATGATGTGGGGATCCTGGCACCTGGTGGTTTTATCTGGGAAACGCTTGCTCAGGGAATGTTCTAGCACTCAGTTGTGCTCACTTGAAATGATGTCAGAGGTGTGATGCCGGTTGCGTCTCAGGTCAAGAGAACCGAACATCGAGAAGAAAAAGGAAGGCATGTCAGGGGGAGGTCGGCAGCCGGGATGCTGAGGCAGGAACTCATTCCTGGTGCTGGGAAGACGGAAGAGAGCTGAGAGTCTGGGACCTGCTTCAGACCTTCAGTCTTCCTTTCCTCTGGGGAAGACCCCCAATTCACACCATCTGTGTTGATGGAAAGGTTGGGGACCCCTGGGCTCCTGTCCTTGTTTGGGGACCCTGAGGTTTGCCACTTCTTGATTTTGAAGTAAATTCAGGACTGGAGTTAAGTTGAGGCAGGTCAGGCACTGGTCTTGGGCACAAAGATTTTGGGGGTGCTCCAAAATCTCAGTAAAAAAGATAAATATGATCTTAATGTAATGTTTTAAAAAGGAAAATGAATAAAAAATCCACAATAAATAAAATATAAAATTTTAAAATAGAGACAGGATCTGTTTTTTTATTGGGAGTTAAAATTAAAAAAATTTTTAATGTTTATTCCTTTTTGAGAGACAGAGTACAAGTGGGGGAGGGGCAGAGAGAGAGAAGGGAGACACAGAATTCGAAACAGGTTCCAGCACAGAGTCTGATGTGGGGCTTGAACCCATGAACCATCAGATCATGACCTGAGTCGAAGTTGGACACTTAACCGACTGAGCCACCCGGGTGCCCACCTTTTTTTTTAAATGTTTATTTTAGAGAGAGAGAGACAGAGAGTGAGCAGGGAAGGGAGAGAGAGGGAGACACAGATCAGAAGCAGGCTCCAGGCTCTGAGATGTCAGCACAGAACCTGACGTAGGGCTTGAACCCACAAACAATGAGATCATGACTTGAGCTGAAGTTGGACGCTTAACCAACTCAACTGAACCACCCAGGCGCCCCCCGGGTGCCCTTATTGGGAGTAATAATTTGACTTGTATGCCTCTAATTCCCTAATTAGCTGTAAAACCAATCTTGTTTTTAAATATTATGATGAGAACCATAGCTTACTAAATAAATGAAAAACCCTAACCAGCCAATTTATATCAGAAACAAATCATGATTTTTTTTTCTGAAACAGCTGAACCAGATTTCCACAATATTTTATGATCTGAGTAGATATTATTTTTGAATCATCCGCTGACAGAAATGCCCGACTGAGTCCGACCACAACAGAAACAACCAAAACAATTAAACCCTAACCTCAGTTGCAAACCTTTCTGGGTTTATAAATCCAGCTACCCAAACTCTTACAGTCAACTCACCATCTTCACTGGCCTGGGTCCCAAAGGACCCACCTCCTGTGCAGTGAGGACTGTTTCTCAGGTCTGCAGAAACCCAGAGAAGGAAACTCATCTTCCGATCTGAAGGGAGATGAAAAGCATATTTTAACAGTGCGTTTCAAATGCATTCCATGCTCATCACAGAAGCATCCAAGTACCTACATCATTTAGAGAGCTGCAGGAGAGCGAATAATGAATGCGGAATATGCGAACGATTCATTTCACTTTTGAAAAAATGCAACCCAGCGAGAGAAAGCTTCGCAAAAGATCTAAAGACAAAATAAAATCTCTGCTGTTTGCAAAGTCAAGGCAGTAATGAGATGATTAAGCAAAAACAAACCTGAGATTTAACCTTAACGGAATTGAACATTTTAAATTTTTAAAAGGTGGAGAAAGTGCCATAAAGGGGGGAGGGCTGAGGGTTAGGGAAACTGTTATGAAAACGAGAATTATGTGCTCTGAGCTGTTCACAGCTCTGTCCCTGGAGTGTGAAATTAGCGACGGAGGCAGATTTCACAGGCACTTCAGGAAGCGTGGCGGCGTGGCGGCGTGGCGGCGATTTGTGACAGGGGCCGCCCGGCCAAGTCCTGCCCACTTGCAAGCTGCTGTCGCTATTCATGCAAAGCACAGAGAATCCTGAGTGTCTGGAGCGTTTTGCATTTATACTGAATGCAGACTCCCTTTCCATGGGAGCGAGTCTAGCCCGTGGGTGGGGCGCCCCGGAAGGAAGCATCGTGTGACAAATTTCTCACCAAAATCTTGCTTCCTCTCTTAAGAAAAACTCCATCCATGTGGTTTGCGTTTATTGGAAATGCTGGGAAAATGTATATGAAATAGGAATATGGTTAAAAGCATTAAACCTTAAAATATCTCCAGGGGCAGCAAGGAATTTTGAGTCTGAGTTCCAGGTCGGAAACGGTTGATGTGGCCTCTCCGGGACACCACCCGCTGGAGTGATGCTTTGGGGAAATGTAACAGAGAAGAGACATTTGGAGAAACAGTGGATGGGAGGAGGTCGTAGTTCCTGAGTCTCCTCCTGTCTGTCTTGGTTTCATCCAGGGCAACAGGCCACAAGCGGAATTATTCCTTGTCACGCTTTTCTACCTTGTCACAGTTAGATAGGCAGATCCCAGCTTGGAGCCGGATAAAGGGATTTTTTTTTTCTTAAACTCAGCTAACAGGTCCCAGAATACCATTACCCCAAGAGCCGGAGAAAACACTTGTCTCAGGAGAAAATCTTAGTTGTTTCACCATCTTTGGAAGCACTTGGGACCCAATTTCAATCGTTAACAGATCACTTCCCTTTCAGGTGCAGTATTCAACCATTTATGGCCTCCTTGCTGTCGGCAGGTGTTTGGTATCTTCCAGATATGGTTTGAACTTGGAACAGTCTTATGGAAAACTTGAGATCGTATAAGAACGGGCTCACAGCTCTCCCCCACACACTGTACCAGAAACTCATACTGATGTTGGCTTATCAAGTTACAGACTATGTTGGTTCTCATCAGTCAACAGGTGAGTCAGCAATCCAGAGAGGTCTCCAAGGACCGGGGTCTGTCCATCTCGGCGGTGTCTTCTGAGCGGACTTCTGCCTGAGGGTATTGAGGGTATTGAGGGTACCCTGAGGAGGGTAATTCTTCCTGGGCATTGAAGGCCACTTGGGTTCAGAAGAAAAAAATCAGGCTTTGGAAGCTTTCTTAGAGGAGCAAGCAGGAAGTTTTCTAGAAAACTCCAGCAGACCCTTTCCGGAATCTCCTTGGCCCCAACTGTATCACACGTGTGCTCTTGATAGATCGCCGCCAGGAAAAATGGCCGGGGTCAGCTCCTCCAGTCCCGTGCAAAGTGAGGGGGACAGGAGGCTCATGAGAAGTCCAGGACCTTTCCTGGGGAGGACTGGGTCGTGGATGCCGTGGGCAGTGAGCGATACCACTGATGTCTAGGAAAACCCCACCATCTCCCCTCTGCCAGCCTCACCGAAAGAAAACTCTGTTTGTTCCACCCTTAGGTCTGGACGCACAAGCCATGAAAACATACCCATGGAAAGATAGGAACGAGGATGCTCAGAGCAGCTCTAACCCTAATAGCTCTAAACTGGAAACGACTCAAGCATCCATCAATAGGAAAATTAATAAATGAACAGTAGGCTATCCACGCAGTGGACTATCACTCAGCAATAAAAAGGGAGCCACACCAGGCATGCCACGGCACGGGCATTATTAATTAGATGCGTCACTTTCAGAAGTATCCAAGTTCCAAAGCCACCAAAAAATGGTTGATCCCGGATGTGGACCAAAGGTTGGGAGCAAGAGACCAATGACAGATACTACATTCTCAACCTTTTCTGTATGTTTGGTAATTTTAAAAGTCATATATTATTTAGTTTAACAAAACGTTAAGGGTCTGTTTCTTCTCTCTGCCCAGTGATCCTCAGTTAACAGTTTAAATAACCAGAAGCCCCACTCACTCAAGTTCAGCTTGGGTATTGGGAGGAGACGGAGGTCAGATAGCTAGAGCAGCACAACTCGGGCAGCCAGGACTTGGTGGCACTGGTCTGAGAGTGGCTCAGCAGAGGCGGCTCATTCACAGGGAGGGACAAGCTGGGGGCATCTCAAATGAGAATGGCCTTGAGGGTAAAGCCCCTACACTCACAGGTCACGTGTACCCCTGAGGGATCTGGCCACCAGCCTTGACAGAGCCCCAGCCCGGAGCCTATAAATGAACTAGAAAAGAGAAGTAGAGGGCGCCTGGGTGGCTCAGTCGGTTATGCGTCCGACTTCAGCTCAGGTCGTGATCTCTCGATTAGCGGGTTTGAGCCCCACATTAGGCTCTGTGCTGACAGCTCAGAGCCTGGAGCCTGCTTCAGATTCTGTGTCTCCCCCTCTCTGTCCCTCCCCTGCTCATGCTCTCTCTCAAGAATAAATAAACATTAAAACCTTTTTTTAAAATTAAAAACAAAAAAGAAAGGATAAGTAAAGTTTGCTGTCTTACATACATTAAGGATTCTCTGAGAAAAGTTTCTCATGCTGATTGGCCCTGGAATCCAAAAATGCAGCTGAAAACAACCTTTGCTGAGCCAGAAACCTGGAAAGTTCCAGACAGTGAATCCAGAACTTAAAAAAAAAGAGAGAGAGAGACCAGAAAAGAAAAAATTAGGGGTTTGCCACTCATACGGCCTAAGTGTTTATCATGTTCAAAGAAGCAGAACTTGGAATGTGATTTGTTTTACAAAAATTGTATTCAGACAGCTCTTTCCATAAAAGTTCCAGGGCCTGTCTGTAGTCCTCAACCCTGCCCACTGTCTGGGTCCAGCCCTTCCTGGCCGAGCTCGCACCCCCAGGGGGATAGCCCCCCCCCCCCCCNGTTTTCTCGACAGTCTCTCCATTCAGTTCCTGGATGAGTCTGTCACAGGCTGGCGGGCAGGAAGGCAAAGACACTGGTGACTGACTAATTCACTTCTCCCCCCCCCCCCCCCCCCCCCCCCCCACTCGGTGCCACACTCCTGCCACAGGTGAGGAATCCAGGAGCCGCTTCTAGAGGACAGATGAAAGGCTTCTTTGTCCCGAATCAACTTTTCATTTGGTTTTCAAGTGCTCTATTATGAATGTTGTAGGTAAACATTCCAGTAAGACTTGGGTAATCTTTTTTTTTTTTTATTTGTTGTCGGCTTACTTTGTTTTGCTGTGTTTGGGGGTCGCAACTCTTTGTAAGGCACAGGAACCGACTCCGGCTGCCAGTATAGACGTGCTTCAAGGGTTTTTGATGTTTTGATCACCTTGCTTAAGACATGGCTTTAGGACATGGTTTCTGACAGAGAGATGGGTTGTCCAGGCTTGGGTAAGTGGCCACACCCCTTGGGGGCACCGGGCACCCTGATTGGCTCACCCTGTATCCAATGGTGAGAACTTGGTTCCCCAAAGAGAACTGGAAGGCTGATGCTGGAGAAAGAAGAATCCCGTGGCAGAGTTCCATGGAAGCAGTGCCTCTCAACCCTCGTGACTAACGCAACACCCGCCTTTATGGCAAACATTGTGTAAGGCTGCCTTACACTCCGGAAATGAAATTCGTGAGTAATATGACCCACTTATACACATCATTTAAAAAATTAGCATATTGCCCTAGTCACAATATCGAGGAGAAATAAGGGGAAATTAACTTATAGGATATTGCTTATAATAAAAATAACAAAACAGTAGAATTATGCAAAATTAAAGGATAATAAAAACGCACTTGGGAGCAGCTAGCCTACAAGATTGAAAGAATCAGTGAGATGTTTGCTTCTGCTGTTGATGAATGCGTGGATTTAAAAGCAGCAAGGCAGTCAGAAGCCTGTACAAGAAATGTTCAAAATGAAAGAACAGACACTGGAGTGAAACCTAGTCAATGAACATTAACAGGTGCAACAAAGTCCTTTGTGTTCCCAGGCTTGAGACTCAGGTGGTTATAAACAGGGCTCTTACTCATGGGAATATCCAGGACATTTAAAAGTCACGGTGGTGTGTGTGTGTGTGTGTGTGTGTGTGTGTGTGTGGCTGGAGTTGTGACATCCCTGGGCTCCTGTCCACTAAATGCCAGTAGCCCGTGTCAGGTAAAATTGGGAAAGATTTTGAAATGTAGTGGGTGTCTTCATTTGCTCATCAAGTCATCTTCCCCTTTCCTTGTCTTTGACTAGGTTATTTTACAATTCTGTAAAGATAAAATTTCATTTATAGCAAATTGATAGTAATGTGAATAATTCCTGTCCATAGAAATGCATGTTATGTCCAGGGGGTGTTTTTAACTGACTTTCTCTGCTGCACCCCACCCCCTCCCAATTATGAAAGAAGCCAGTTTTACATGTATTAATGAAATTCATTTTAACTTTCCTAATCTCCTACAAATGTGTTGCACTTCGCATTTCTCTCTCTTTTTTAATGTTTCATTTATTTTTGAGAGAGAGAGACAGGTGCAAGCAGGGTAGAGCAGAGAGAGAGGGAGACACAGAATCCAAAGCAGGCTCCAGGCTCTGAGTTGTCAGCACAGAGCCTGACACGGGGCTCAAACTCACAATACGTGAGATCATGATCTGAGCTGAAGTCAGACGCTTAACTGCCTGAGGCAACCAGGCGCCCCTGGATTTTTCTTTGACACGGTTTTAAAACTTTTCTGGTTCCTTCATTCATTACTGTGTTAACACTTCTAACACATTCACTGAATCTTTGTACAACATGCGTGATTTTATCTTTTAAAAAAATTATTCTTTAACAATCCCAACCCGTGCATAACTGAAAAGTAAGCTCCTCACCTTTTCAGGCTCTCCGTAAGACAATACTATATGCACTGAGTCACTGCATTAATGCACACATACACACATCTTCATGCGGAGAAATGACAAACCGAAGGAAACCTAACCCATATTCCCTTGTCTTGAGCCGGTGGCCGCATGGCCTGATAGCTGACTGATGCCCCATTGCTCTTCCTTTACAAACACTCAGCTGTGGGTTCTTAGAGTTTGAAACCTCGACCTCAAGCCGAGGTCCCTGAGAGCCAACCTTTGTTCATAGCCAATTAATTTAACCAACATTCTCAGCTTTTTGGCTCTTGTCTGAGGAAAGTCACAACTTGAGGTGACCCAGCACCCTTCAGCACTTCTGTGAAAGGGAATTACATCCTGTGTAATTCTAATCTTCTCGGCCACGGTTGTTTTCTTGGTGTCATGGGGGTATTTTTAATCCTCAAAAGGAAAAAGAAGAAGAAAATCCGAAAAGACCACCCCCAAGTCTGAAATCCTGTTAAACCTTCAACAAAACCAAATCCATCAGGGCTTGACGAAACAAGCTCATGAGCAGAGAGGAGTGCGGGTGTAGCGGTAAGATCCCACCGGCTCCTTTATGAAACCTGGTTCCCTCCATCTGGACGGCAGACGACAGGGGTTTCCCGGGTCCCGGGTGCCCTGGTTGTTGGGTATGCGAAATGGAAGGAACCATTCTCTGATCTTTGGGTTCCGTGTTCATTTGCATAACCCTGGTCCTTTTAAGAGCAAGGGACAGAAATCATCACTGAAGACATGCAGCAGAACATGGGAGGGGTGTGGACACTGTTGTGCCCTGCTGTTTAAAATGATCTTCCTGGCGAACTGGGGTTGTGCCAAGGCATCAGGAGGTCAGGGTGGGGAGAGTGAGAGCTCCTTCCTAAAATCCTTATTCCCTAATCAAGATATGACACACTTCTAATATAGAGAAGAGTGTCTGTCTAAAGGGATTTTCTGAGGAATTTTATGATACTGGAATAGTAATTACTGTCAGATGCTCAAATACTAAAAAATACTCCAAAGTGCCATTTGAATGCATGACAGTGTATAACTAATGCTGTATTTCCTGCATGTTGTATACATGCACCTGTCCGTGCACCCCGCCTCATTCACACCATGCAAGCCCACACTCCCCCCCACCCCCCGCACTTTGTTCAGGTGGCTTCTCTAACATCTCTGAGAGACAGTCCCTGACCACCCATCTAAAATAAGGTCTTCACTCTCTGCATCTTCTTTTGCGCTTTATTTCCTCCATCGCGTTTTTCGCTTGATCACGATTAACTTCAGAGGACTCTCAGTGTACTGAGCAGAGACGCAGTGAGGCAGACAGGACCATAGCAGCAGCAGTGATGTGAGGTATGTGCTACAAGAGATGGTGGAGCCAACTTAGGGGCTGAGGATGGGAGCGGAGCAATCAGAGAAGGCTTCACAGAAGAAGTGACAGATGCAGAGGGGTGAGTAGGAGTTCACCCTGAGACGTGGGACTGAGGGAAAGGCATTTGGGCAGAGGGAACAGTCTATGCAAAGGAATGGAGGCCAAAGAGCTGTTGCTAACAAGAGAATGTAGGGCGTGGCCTGAGAGTGGTGAAATTTTCTAAATGATGACCCCACTCCTCCTGTCCCAGTCTAATCCAGTCCCGAGTTAACTTTTGAGAGTTGTCCAAGCACAGGGCATGGTGGAGAATGGGGAGAAACATAAAGCACACCCCATCCCCCTGGAGCTCAGTCTGCCAGGCGGGCAGCAGCAATGGAAAGGGGATCAAGAGTGAGAGATCTGTTCCGTGTTCAAGGCATCAGTAGATGATCACTGAGCACACATTGGATTTGTGCCTGACTCGGCAGGGATAGAGTAGCAAAGCTCATTAGATAGTGGCCAGGTCATTCATTCCTTCATTCACAAATATTTATTGGCGCTTATGTTATGTGCCTGGCACGTCTGAGATGTTTGGGAGAGAGACATGAACAGGAAAGACGAGATCCCTGTCTTCATGGAGCTTACATGGAAAATTCATCCCAAATGCAGGTGAGCAGATGAGTAAATAAGATGTTTCCAGACCATGGCAGTGCTATGAAGAAAACACAACAGGGCAGAGGACTGGGGGGCGGGGAGGGAG